TCAGCTATCCATTCAGCAAACTTCTCCACAGTGTTTATTGCAATATTGATTTTCAGAATTTTTGAAAGTCTAAAAAGTCATAAACTCTTGAATGTACATGGCATATCAGTAACAATTTGGACATTGCACCATATGGGATTCATAATATGTCACTCAGAAGACATGCGTTCACTCTGAAGTTCAGTATAGTTCAAGTGAGAATGAACTCAAAATTAAGATTTTGTATATAAATGCACTGCGTGTTATATTTAATAAGTTCAGATTAGATCATTCTGAAGATGTAATGTCTGGAACATAAGACATTTCTGCACCATTTCTGGCCACAGTGCCCCTTGCGGTCTGGGCATGTCCCACATGGAAGTCGAACCGACAACCTGAAAAGTTCGGGTCTTGTTGCTCATCACGGTGCGCTGCTCAGTTCGCGCACAGTCACAAAGCTGCAGAGGAGAGCTTCCAAGGCAAGAATGAGCACACAAAAGCATTAGTTAACATATTAACCAATTTTAGCATGCTAAGATAACTTGGCCACTAATGTAAATTGTTTAACCTATACAGTATAGCCAAAATCACCATTAGAATGAATGGCAACTAGTTAGCATTTTAACCTATTAGCGAGAGGTGTAAAGTACAGTTTCATAAAGTAAAAGTCCTCCTCAGTATTTTGTTACAATCACCTGGATTTGCTAATTAGCACAGTTTTTCAGCCAGGAGATTACTTACTAATTAGTGAAATCAGCTGGCTGAGTTCAGGGGTGGAATAGACATATGGCAGGACTTTTACTTTCTGACCCCTGGACTTTACACCTCTGCTATTAGCATGCTAAGATAACTAGCATAAACCAGCAAACACAGGCAGTCGACTTCGGAGAGGTATCTCTTGGGAATGGTTAATATCAAAAATCTTTTCAGTAATTTTTGTGCGGCTCAGTCCAAACTGGTCATCTGATCAGATTTTTGAAAAAAATTGTAGTTCCGAAAAAAACTGGGTGTGTCCGAAATCTCCACTCAAACCACTACTCCCTAACCCCTATGTAAGGGGTAGGGAGTAGAGCACTATATAGTGAGCTCACCAGCATAATAGAAACACCACTTTCGGACACTACTCGATCGTCTCTCGGCGCCGTTGATTACGTCATTACTGTCGCACTATTTAAACGCGCCATCATCTGTCAGCTGGTGCCAAGCCAGCTCTGGGCTAAATAGATTTTTTTTTATATAAATACATTACATTATATTGAGCTTATTTCTCCAAAATTGTAAAATTAAAAGTCATTTCTGGCCGTTTCTGTTATAATGCGTTACTCCACACATGATTATACATGTCTGACAAAATTGTAGAACTACTACATATCATAAGTTAAACGAGAAAGAACATAACTTACATTTGTATGACAAATTCGTATTGTCGCGCTGCTCTCCTTGACGTCCATCCGCCATTTTTACGATCAGCGCAATGCATGATGGTATGTAGGGCTTGGGTTAGTGACCATCGGTTGTACACTACTTTTCAAAATGCATTCTGGGATCCATTGAGTGGACTATATAGGGTATAATAATCATCACTATACATTCGGACAGCACTACAAAATGGCGAGCTCACTATATAGTCCACTATATAGTGAGTAGTGGGAGATTTCGGACACAGCCACTGATTTTATTTCAAAATGGCAGACAGGGAAATTGATGGAAAATAACAAATGAGATATTGTCAGAATCAGCATAAACCAAGGAACATGATGACACGGAAAACAAAAATTTAACAATGTTTTCAAAAGTTAGTGTTATTGCTAAAACTTATATCTCTGGAACACTATAGGTGGCCCTGTGTTCAAACTTCTCGGGTACCTTCAGGGCATGTTCTCAATGAACCCTGCCAAATTTTGTGTCAATGTTAAAGTGTTTAAAAATATCAACGCTTATGTCAGATTTCAAATTGGCGGACAGGCGATTTGTCTGATCCTGGTAAAACCGGTATTGACTGATTCAGCATGACCCAAGGAATCAAACCCCAAGATCATGATTTTCTGTCAAACATTTCAAAAGTTATTTAGCAAAAATAGCAATTTTTCTGATGTCATGACCCATAGGTGGCGCTGTTCCCAAATTTCGCATGTACCCTCGTATCATGGTACTGATTAAGCGTACTGAGTTTCGTTTTGATAAATCAAAGTTTGGTAGAGAGATAGGCTAGCATCTAATCTGATTTTGGAATATCAAAAACCGTTCAGTCATTTCTGTGAGGCTCGGTCCAGTGATCATCTGAGAATTTTGGTGAGAATTGGCCAAAATTAAGTAGCAGCGAAAAACCTGAATACAGTACATCTCAAAATAGTGACAATTGGTGGAGTCTTAATGTAAGATATTGAATGGGATCAGCATGATGGTGTACTAAGAATTTTGTTTCTATGACAGGGTTCAAAAGTTACCATTTGAAAAGTAAATTTTTGAGCTGGTGGTGGAGTTATAGAGGTGGTCTCATTACCACCAGAACAAGTGTGCCAAATATATCCAAATATATTTTCTGTGTACTCAAAGCGCTTTACATATTGATGGGGGGAATCTTTTCAACTTGACATTTCTTGCACAAATCTTGTTAGAATTAGAACAAATCTTGACATTTGTGGGAAAAGGAAAAAAAGTGTCCAGGGTGCTCAAGGAGTTCAAAAAAGTAGTTAAAAAAAGTGTGTGAAGGTGCTCTTTGGGGTCGGGAATTCAATGACATGTGGTAGAAGGAAATCCAAGGCACTCTTCTTAGGAATTAATAAAAAGCCTTTATTTAACTGGCTATTTCATAGTAGAAAATTTTAAAAACATGGGGGGAAAAAACAACCCACGCGTAGCGGCACAAACAGCCTTCTTCCACTTACCCTGAAGAAGGCTGTTTGTGCCGCTACGCGTGGGTTGTTTTTTTCCCCCATGTTTTTCTAATTTTCTACTATAGCCAGTTAAATAAAGGCTTTTTATTAATTCCTAAGAAGAGTGCCTTGGATTTCCTTCTACCACAAATCTTGACATTTGTTCTGTCAGTCATAATAGGGTAGACCATACTTTATATTTAACTGACTGCTTATTATAAGATATCACTTCTGTTTGGAATCGACTCCCTAATGGACATTTTCCACTTTGCTTGACAACTAGAAAGAGACCATTTACTTTTTGTCTTGAATTTTGATCTGTTGTGTGTTTTATCCTTAAAAGCTTAACAGACTTCTTTAATTCAATTTTTGCCAAAAGTGTGCTTTGCTATATTTCTTTCTGTGTAAATGCCATTGGTTTGATATTTTGTACAATTCAGTGACATTCATACTTTAAAGGGACACTTCACCCATTTGCATTAAGCTTTGTATCTTTAAACCCAGGCATATTTTTGAATGGTCATGGTTTATTCCCTTATTTTCCCCTGAGATGGGAGAAATAAGGATTTAAGTGTTCCACTTCCTGCTTTTTATGACGGAAAAATCGTCATTTTGCTTCATAAAGAGTAGGAAGTCCCATTTCTTTGTATAAGGGTTGAGACTACAAACACTAGCTCATCATTTATCCAGGGTGTGGGACCCACTCACGCTACAGACCTATTACAGATCAGTGGGTGGGACTTCACTTGCAGATACTGAAATCAATATCAGCCATCTTGTTTGGAAGCTAAGCTAACACGCCCTGTGGAGATAGGAAGTTACGACAATTACGGAAGAAACTAAACATGATATGGAAGAAGAGGATTTTGAAATTCTGCTGCTCGAGTCCGATGTTCGTGGCTATTTTTACGAGCCGCAATACAGTGAAGAGCAGCTGAGGCTGATGGAGGAACAGGAGGCGGACGAGGAGCCTGGACTGGCTCGAGCTGGGCGGACTGCTGGTGCCTGTGCTCTCGCTGTGCGCTACAGACACAGATAGAGTCCGTCTGCTGCAGAGAATTTCAACGATGGATTTCTCCTGGACGAAATCTCTGAATCAGACGACCATTCGGACGTTTGTGTTGTGATGTGAACTAGGCCTATCCTAGTTTCGCACCGCATATGTTCTGACTGAACATCCCGGTATCATGCAATAATTCACCATATAGAAAGAAATACAAACGAGGAGTAATTCACTAATGAGTTTGCCAATGTAACGGGGTTCGTTGTTGTGGGAAGGAGGCGGGAACCGGCGAACATTTAAACATTTTAATAGTAAAATAAACAAATACAAAACAAAAGTATAACCCAGCAGCTCCTCACGGACGAAACACAGGCCTGTTCCTCTCTCGATCTGAACTGTCGTCGCTCCTCCTTTTATGCTTCCGCTCCTCGGTGAGAGATACGAGACCGGTGCGTCTCACAGGTGTCATTCATTAGCACTCACGCCACCGGCCTCGCGCCGTCCTCTCACGTCCCTCGCCCTCGTCCTGCTCGCCACAGCCAACTAACTAGAAATTTTGTGTGAAATGAATTTCAAACTCTGGTGGCAGCTAGCCTTGTAGACGGAAGAGTGATTTCTCCTATGTTTGCGCTGTTCTGGATTAGTGGGAGTGGCTTGTGGAGCTGTGCAATGTGGTACATTGTGGGAGTTGTTGTCTTACATACAAATGCGCCCTAAAGTTATTTTCTCGGTCAAGAGGGCACCAAATTCAAAATTTCTTTTACATTTCGACTACATATATGACCCACTTTCAATAAAGATTAATGTTGAAATGGGTGAAATGCTCCTTTAAGTGTGTCCAAATACTTTTTGGGGCTGCTGTGTGTGTGTCTTGTGTTGGTCTTGGCCTTGGTTCAATTTGAAGGTATGTTCGTAACTAAAGAGGGAAAAAGATGAATCTGTAACTCTGGCTTTTGGCTGTGATAGAAAGCATGTCTAGATCTGTTTAGGCTCAACTCAGATGTGTTTTCTTTTCCTGATGATCGGTACTGCGTAACCCAGCACAGACTCTAATGGATCTAATCATGTGTCCATTCTGACTTTAAAGGCATGCTGTCAGGCTCCTGAATGTGAATGTTGAATGTGTTCTCTGTCTCTCTCAGGTGAGATGGTGAGAGGGGGGAGAGAGTGAGGCCATGGGCTGCACCTCGGCTAAGCAGGTGTCGGCTGTGCCCACCGACGAAGAGGGCCGGGGCAAAGCCTACAGCAATGGAGACCTTTTCACTGGTCAGTCTCACACACACATACATGAGCTATGAGTTCACAGTTCACCCCTAAAAATTTATGTTGTTCCATACCTGTTTGACTAACTTTTTTCTTTTGAAAACAAAAGAGGTATTTTGAAAAATGTCTTTTTTTTGTCCACCTAATGAATGATTGTTAGTGGGGTCCAGTGTTATTTGGACCCTAACGTTCTTCAATATTTTGTGTGTCTCGGAAGAAAGGAAGTCATGCAGGTTTGGACAACATAAAGGGTGAATTTTGGGTGAACTATCCCTATAACTCCAGGTTGCTACTGGGGACCTGTCTATGTAGTAAATAAATTGTAAGTTAAAAAAACTCTCGCTTTGGATAAAAGAGTCCACTCAAGGAAATTGAGTCCACTTTATAGAAATTGGCTTTTTAGGCATCTGAAACTAAATGGTTTTATTGGACAGTCACCATTCACAGTCCAGGTTTGGTTATACCATTAAAATATCCTTTGATTAAAACACTTATGGATGAAAACAGGGCAGAGATGTGTTTGATTTCCATGGGAGACTGTCATATTTTGAGAATGTAATTTCTCCACTGGACTTCTGTTGATGGATAAGAGCCTGTTTTCCAGTCTGTATTTTTGGCTTCGTCCCATTTGGTATACTTGGACTATGCTTTAAAATTGTACTTTGGTAATGAAGGGAAGGTCCACACTTTGGAATATAGTATCAGGACACAACCATGTCATAAAACTGTCTTGATTTCCAGATCAACCTCTGTTGTGTATTGTTTACATGAAAGCATTAGCTGAAATGACTTGGTATAGACATGCATGACTCTTTTCTTTCATTGGGTGTAATGTGGGTAATACTAGCTCAAATATAGCATTTCTTCTCTTTCATGTGGGTAATATTAGCTCAAATATAGTATTTGTATTGGGGTGCAGTGATTTGCTGTTTTCTTCTCTATTGTTCAAGAGATTTTGAGATGGACATCACTGAAAATCATTTGCAGTTCAGTAAGTGAATCAACATCTGAATCACTTACTGTCAGTGAAGGATTTGTCAGACTGATTCAAACTGGTAACTTGTGTGTAGAGTTGTCTTTTTAAACGATTTATTAAATGAATCGCCTCACAAGAGTCATTTTCTTGTGAATTGGGCTACACTACTCATGCTGTATGTTTTTGATTTAGTAAAAAGAACTAATTTGTCAGTAGTCGTTTTTATTGCTGGCCAAACCTATGTGTTAATCTTATTTTCTAGGAAAACATGATAAATGGGAAATCATTTGAACATATTGGACAGAAAGACATCTTGTTGTCTTGGAGTTTGGCTGTTTCTTTTTTTTTTACCAATCATTCAAGACTCATTCAAGATTAAACTTTAAGCAGAACGAACAGCCAGTTAAGTAATTTATTATGTCCAAGCAGTGAATAATGTTTTACAATGTTTTGGGAAGATGATTACATTCTGGCAGTTCTTGGATGCATCCTTCTCGGCATTCATACTGTGTTTGTCTATGTAAAGACTCTCAGCTACATCTGTGCCAACAGGCGTGTGTTTGAGGATAACATTATCAGCTGGAGTGAGTTACTCATGTGTTCTCTGGGTTTTGTGTGTGTGAGAGGTTGTAAATATGTTTTAAAGAGTTTAGATAACAGCAGCGCTTAGTGTGTGACCTGTGAGAGAGTGACAGAGATTATAGGAGATTAAGAATTAAGGGCAAAACAGCAGAAAATCCTCATAGGAAACACTCAATGACCAGCCATAGGAGTCTCTCTCCCTCTCCCTATCTCTCTCTCTCTCGCGCGTGCTCTCTCTCTTTCTCTCTCGCGCTCTCTCTCGCTCTCTTCCTGCCATGTTCTTTTCTCTGTCTCTAAGGATTCACAGTGTGTGAGATGGAGGGAAACGCTCGAATGAGAACGAGGGAGAGAGTGAGTGACGTGGGATCAGACTCCCATTTTTTCCTCCCCTGACATTTATCCCTCCCTCTGCATATCTGTCGTTCTTCTCAAGGCTACACTTTCCTTGTTTCCTTCCTTTCTTTGCTGTGTACTTTTCATTATTCTGCCTACTTTTCTGCCGCCTTCCCATTACCTAAGCTATTTTACTTTATTCTCTCTTTTTTTACCTCAGTATCCCTTCCTCTTTCTCATATGATGTTTCTTGCCTATATTCTCTTTAGCGGTGTTGAGAAGATACAGTACAGAACTTCTAAACTACTCCTAATATACTTATAAATTATGTACATAACCATTCAAAAGTTTGGGGTCAGTAGCCTAAGCAGTACATTAATACTTATTCAGCAAGGATGCACTAAATTGTAAAAAAGGGACAGTAAAGACATTTATAATGTTGCAAAAGAAATCTGTTTGAAGCAAATGCTGTTCTTTTTAACTTTCTATTAATCAAAGAGTCTTGAAAAAAATGTAGCATGGTTTCCACAAAATTATTAAATGCTCAACTGTTTTCAACTATGATAATAATGAGAAAGGTTTCTTGAGCAGCAAATCAGCATATTAAAATGATTTCTGAAGGATCATGCGACACTAAAGACTGGAGTGTTCCAGCGTGCTTGTGTATTTTTATTGTTGTTTAGAATTATAGAATAATAGTGCTCTCTTTATCTTGAATCTTGAACCAAAGGTAATATCAGCCACAGTTTGTTACTTGATCAGACAAGGTACTGTTTGAAACAATTGTGATTGCATATGTAATTTTTCACATATTTACAACAAATAGTAGGCAAAATACAAATATATGCTGCACCGTAAGCTAGTATCAGTGTAATTTTAGTATTGTTTATATTTTACTATAGTATTCATAATTTGAGTTAGCTTTTTATATTTTCAGTTTTCACTTAAATAATACTTTTAACTTACATAATTTAAGTAGGTTGCCAAGGCAATATTTCAAATTTTCATTTAAGTATTTCATCTTTTGTTTAACTTTTTAATTTCAGCTTTATTTCAATTAAACTAAACTGATTAAAAATATTTTTTTTGGTAGTTAACAAGAACAACACAAGCTAGAATTCCTTTTGATAATGAATATTTGCTGTGTTTAATGAAGAACTAGCTAATTGACCAATAAGAATGTATATACACAGTAAGTATGCATTCATAGTAACAATACAGTTAGGACATTCTACATCCACCATGTTAAGGCCATGACACACCAAGCCGGTGTCAAAGAACTAGCGTCGATGAAAGCTGATTGTCGGCCCTCGTGTTGAACACACCGCAAAGACTGCAGCAGACTGTCATGTGTGTTCTGTGCCTGTGTGAACTGTCTATATCAGCAGGTGTCAATAGTTTATTCATCATTAAAAAAGGGAAACTAGTAGGACTGCAGATATACCAACCGTAAACAAAGCAGCTCTTGCTTAACGTTTTAAATATCAATTGCTTATCACTTTCTTCATCCGGCAGCTCATGTTGTGAAAATATTTGTGTATTAGAATGTAAGACGACGTAAAATTAGAACAGCCTTCTGTCTGTACCGTCTTGACTTCTTTACTCGCTTTTAACCTAGTGCACTGACTTGTTCGCTAAACCGAACAGCCAATCAGAGTGATCTCGCTCACCGACAGCCCAGACGGCAGTTCAACATGCTGAATCGGGTGAGCTGTTGAACACTGCAAAAACTGACCCAACAGACGCACTGTCATTTCACTTCTACAACATCAGCCTTATTGCTGATCTCTACTATTTACAAATATAATTACTCCTGTCCTATGACCTAATGGGGGTAGAGTCGTCATTTAGCTAATATTTGACATAATGCATCTCTGGGAAGTACCAGTAGTCATATTCAGATATGGGTTCTGTTTCTCTGTTCTGCATTTCCTCTTGTGAGATTGAGGATGTGACGGTTTATACTGTATCTTCTGATTCTCTTCCACTCTGTGTCTGTGATCTGTAGGCTCATAATGTGGCATGTTAATCTGAGAGAACTGTAACGCACAACAACAGATTGATAAGTATTATATTCACCAGCGTGAACAGAGCAGTGACCTGGTTACTGTGGATTATTGCTAACTCCCCCCTTCTTCTTTCTCTATCTATCTATCTTTCTGTCTCTCACTCGCTCTTTTTTTTTCTCTTTCTCCTGCCAACCCAATGTCCTTCTTTCCACTGCCCTTCCCAGCTGTCAGTCAAACAGCTCTATCAATAGAACAGAGGGCTTTCGCCCCCTCCCCTCTCTCTCTCTCTCTCTCTCTCTCTCTCTCTCTCTCTCTCTCTCTCTCTCTCTCTCTCTCTCTCTCTCTCTCTCTCTCTCTCTCTCTCTCTCTCTCTCTCTCTCTCTCTCTCTCTCTCTCTCTCTCTCTCTCTCTCTCTCTCTCTCTCTCTCTCTCTCTCTCTCTCTCTCTCTCTCTCTCTCTCTCTCCCTATCTCTTTCTCTTTTTCACTCTCTCAACTCTCAGCTCGCGCCCTGGCTTGATGTGCCAACAAACTGTTTACTAGTCGAACTGTGTCGGTGTTCAGGCAGTGAGAGTGTGTGTAAGTTTGTGTGTCCTCATCTGTGATTCAGTGCTTAGTCAATCCCAGCAACACACACGATCTCCGGCACGCACAATGACAGGAAAGGCCGAGCTGCCCTAAAACAAACAAGAGGGGCAGCAGGCGGAGAATATGCTGTCTGGTTACATGCGATCTGCAGTGAGCTGTTGAGATTGGTGTGTGTGTGTGGAGATTGGTGTGTGTGTTGAGGCGTTCACACTGATGCTGATCTGCACCGACAAAGTGACCAGAAGGCATTTGATTTTCAACAAGAGCTGGCCATATCTGACATGAGCGACAGTTCGACCAATCGCAACGTGATGTAGGTGTGTCCAGTGTTGCGAGAAAAGCTTTACTTTTACTTTTAGAACCGGGTATCGGGGTTAATGGAGCAGAGCGTAGGGGGTACAGTTCAGGCCAGGCCAGGCCCCCTTGTGGCGCCGACACTTATTAACAATAACAACTCTCTAGCACCATATGTTTGTTTTTCTTTGCACCACATGAGGACAGTGCAATAGAGAGATGTTTCTTGCCATTATTTCATTGTACACCGTCTTTTTATTGCATAATCAATACAGAATGCAAACTCACATTCACAACTACCCACAGCAGAGTAAGATCCATTTAGAGATTTTAAGAATAGATATCAGGATCGATGTTTAACATTATTGTGAGCAATTTCATTGTTCTATATGATTTTATCTGTTTGACTTCATGTCTTTACATATGCATTTGGCAGTTGGGTTTTATCCAATGCGACTTTACATTTCTGTCTTCATGTTTTTTCGAGAACTCAAACCCATGACTTTGAGGTTTCCAGCTCTTGTTCTACCAACTGAGCTTCAATAAATTTCAGCAGTGATTTGTTTCTGCCCACATGCAGCGTTATTAAAAAAATGACGCATGGAAAACTGTCAGATATTGCGAGCATTGATTCATGCATCGATGTGATGCATTATGCATTTCAGCAGTGTTACCATAAAGCTTTCCCCTCTAGTTTTTTGTCTACAGACAAGAAAACTGATTTGTCAAATATGAATTGCAAGTTTACAATTGATATTTATATCAATTGTGATCGGATTTTCAGATGATATGGCTAGTTATGAAAGTTAACAATAACAGGCTACTCAGCAGTAGGAATGTCCAATATGGCTCATTAATACAGAAACTTGTTGACCTTCAGCGATAAAACTTCTATGTGTGTGTGTGTGTGTGTATAACACAGGCATTTTTCAAAGTCACCAAGTGACTGCGTCCACAAAGCGACTGTTTAGCTAATGTTTTTAACGGCAACGGCGTACAGTAACACAACAGATCATCTCAGTGACACTCTGTCTTCTGAGGTTTATAAGTATGACTTCAGATGTTTAACGGCTGATCTTTAACCAAAGGCGTGGTATCGGTCATGTGTCTAAAGGTAGCTCAAAACGTGTCTCTTGATTTTGTAACTCCTCTCAGTTCTGCCTTAACGTTAGTGAGTAATCTTCCACCTACTATCATCAAAGAGAGCGTGAGATTGACAAACTCCCCTCCCTTGCGGTGGACTCGCTGTCTTAACAGACTCCCACTTATAGAATCGCTTCAGGGCAAAGCTTCTCCACACTGATTCTAAAAGTAAAGCGGCCCACTCATGTTCCTCAGACACGCCACTCACGGCACTGAACACATCTGAAATTAGGCCAGAAGGTAAAAGTGAGAGGGAGACAAGGTTGTGTAGCTGTTGTGTCATCCGATTTGTTTCGTTTAAGCCGATCGAGTTCCCAGACACCTAAATTACCTGGTCGTCAGAAGGCATCTTGTCACAAACAAGAAACAATCGAGGCCTAATGATTAGTGCAGGTTTTCCTGAAAATGTCAAACAAATATTTTTCAAGTTTTATTTAAAAGAAGTGTGTGCGTATGTATGTGCTCACTGCTCATTTAGTGAAATAAATGCAAAATGACATTCTTAGTATTTGATTGGAATATTTTGAGTGATGCTAGAACTGAATGACTGAATTAGTGTTGGTATTTTTTTAAATGAAATTGGCAGTTGATTCGCATAGTTGAACAGCCAATCTGCAGGGGTTTAAACACTGTAATGGGAAAATCCGAGATGCTAAAATATCTTTGCTTTGGTGCTGTCATACTCATGAGTCATGACACAAGAAGCAGGCAAAAAAAAAAAAAACTGCCTACCATCACAGCCTTTAGGAAATGTAATGGCCTACTAAAAAGCACATAAAAATCAACTCCATATTCACAATGTTGTTTAATTTCTGAATAGAATAATTTAGAATATATTCTAAATATTCAGTATTACCCAGCTATTCTCTAACACATCCCATGGTGCTCATGAAGCCAGCTTGCAACATTTCTCATTCTCCTCATTTCCTTTATTTTCTATACTATAAAAAAGTACAAAATAATAAAAGTGGCAAAAAAAGCCATTTCTGTCAAGCAAGCATCCTCGTCTCCATCACGTCCTAAAGGTCGGCATCATGCTGTGATCACCAATTAGCCAATCGAAATATCCCTACATAAGAGAACATCTCATCTTCCCACCAGAAATAGCCCGTCTGGAACATACTAAACTGGTAAAATGTCACTCTCTCTCTCACTGCAAGCAACTTTGTTTCTCTGAGATAGTTGTTTCTCGAATGATTGTCTCCTTGAAAAGATGGATTAGAATGATTTGTTCCTCAGATCTCCTTTTTTAGTAATGCTATCACCCTACTTGCGTTTATGCGAGCGCGTGTGTGTGTGTGGGAAGAGAGATGCTTGTATGTATGCATGTATTTGAATTTAAGTGTCTGGCTCTTTGGGATCCTGGAGGCCTGTTTTGTGTAACACACCTCAGCCAAATCAGTTAAAGTTTGACTTTAATTTGTGTGTTACGTTTCTCTTTGGTTCGGGTTTGTGTGTGCGTGTGTGTTTATCAGCATGTTGGAGCGTGGTCTTTTGTGCAGAGACATGTTTACATTCCTCAAGCTGTGAAAGACTGGCGGCGTTGCGCCCTCTTTTTCTCTCTCCTTTTATATTTCTCTCTCCTTTTATATTTCTCTCTTTTTTCCCCCCCATTTCTCGCTTTTTGTGTTTGTGCGGATGGACTGCACTGAGTCACATTCACAGGCTGCCCACTCCAGCTGTCATGATGGTAACTGACAGGGAGTTCACAGAGAGAAAAGGAGAGAAAGACGGATAGAGGCGAAGATAAACTGAGATTGAGTGGGCTGCGATTTGCCTCGTGCTGATTTGTAGACAGAGTAAATGACAGATTTATGTATGTGTGTGGGTGTGTGTATGTGTTATGAGGAAGTGAATGCATGGACATGCAAACACGGACATGGCTGCTGGGAAAGGGCAAAATTCAAAGTGTTCTGTTAGAGCTGGGTTGAAGGCATTTTCAAATGTGAATTTGGTCACTGTTTACTCTTACATTGTTCCAAACCTGTATGAATCACCTTTTCTGTGAAAAACAAAAGGTATTTTGAAGAATATAGTCACATGGTTCTCAGTATAATGAAAGTGAATGAGGATTAAGGCTGTCAAGCTCTAAAATGACAAAATAAAGCACAATAAAAGTATCATATAAGTGGTTCATTCATATGACTCATGTGTGCTATATTTTAGGTCTTCTGAAGCCATACAATAGATTTGTGTGAAGAACAAACTAAAATTTAAAGTATTGGTGGGTTAATGAGAGAAGTAAGTATCAGTGTCTAATTAATGAATGACTCAATAGTTTGAATCAGATTTGAAGGAATGTGTTCATGAATCGGCCTGATTCGTTTCTCAATGTCAATGATCTTGTCACAACAGTCAATTGGAGGGGAAAATTATCAGTGAATAACTACTTTTACTTTTTTCCCCACACTATCGTATGACTTCAGAAGTCTTGCGCATGAGTCAAATGAGTTATTTTTATGATACTTTTATCGACATTTATTTCGATGCTTGAAAGCTTTAGTCCCCATTCATTGTAATATCTTGGAAAAAAATACCAGTATATTCTTTGAAATTTCTCCTTTTGAGTTCCACGGAAGAAAAAAAGTCATATGAGTTTGGAACGATATAAGGGTGATTAAATGATGACAGACCTTTTCTCTGTGAATCATTTCTTGAACAGCCCTAGAATAAAAATCTAACTTGTCTTTCTTTCTCTGTAGATGAATATAAGAATAAGGGAGTGGAGGAGGTGAAGTATATGCGTGGAGAAGAGGACAGAGTAAACGCACGCAACCAGGAGAACCTCCAGGAGAACCTGGTGAGATGCAAAACATGTTTTCTCTCTCTCTCTCACACACACACACACACACACACACCTGGCAAATTCGTCCTGTGCATTGGTGTCCTTTCATATTTGACTCTTTATTTGCAAAGACACTGCTTGAGGCACATATGACTGTTTTTTTGCTTATACAATGAAGTGAAACTAAGCGTATGCAGCACACACGTGTGTCGACATGTTTGGAATGTGGGTGAGGAAATTCTGACACAATTTTCCTCTTTGTCATAGACACTCACATTACCAGATGAAATTTTATATTCTTGAGTTCTTATATGCATCGTTTCCTATACTCACACTTATTCAAACATTGGTAGCACTTTATTTTCCAGTCCAGTTCCCCGTGTACATACTTAATACTTATATTAAAGTAATTACAATAACTGGGTAATAACTAGGTAACCCTGAACCTACCCCTAAACCTAACCTTAACCCATGTAGTTACCTAATATTAGCCAGGACTTTCTTAGGCAAGAACACGTAAGTGCACGTACTGTAAAATAAAGTTCAACCCAAATATTCTCAAACATCTGAACTGATTCTTTGCCTAATGAGGACACTCTATCAACCGTAATAATAATATGAATAATTATTATAGTAATAGTAAAAAAAATAAAAAAAATTATTATTATTAATAAAACAATAATAAAATATACTATTATAGTAATATTAATAATTTATTTTACAGATTGTTTTCTAATGTAAAACTCTATACACTCGCATATTTTTTCCCCCACTTAATAAATAATAATGTCAAGGTTTCTTGTATATGACTACTTTCTGCCTTTTCTCTGACATTTAGAATTAAACCATGCGTTTAGCTACTTTACTTTCAAGGCTTTATGTAAATGACCCCTGTTATGATTGGCTAACCTTTTCACCTGTTAAATGAGTAATAATGTCACTGCCAAGTTGTTAAATACTGGCATTGATATGCAAATGTAGGTCATCATATGTTAATGTTAAATGTAAATGTGCTCACTTGGGGTGTAAAATAAATCATGACTTTTTCATTTCTCATCCAAATTACAGTTCTCAACATATTTGAAATGTAAAAATCCACAATCATTTTTTTAATAATTATATAATATACCAAAACAAAGGAATAAAACTCGAAATGTGACCAGATTTCAGATCATAATAAAATGGTTGTCATAATTCGACCCACAAATATTCCCCCATTGCATTATTATACATTATATACAACAGTATATATAGTAGTTTAATGTAGTACTGACCCTAAAACTCTGAAAACTTGAATTCTCACACAGTCATTTTTATTTTGGGTGAACTATACACAATATACATTCACTATCCACGATACATATTGTTGCATTTTTGTATTGCGATATATTGTGACACGATACATTGTTTCTCCTCTACTACATAGTACACTGAAGAATTATATTTCAAATAGAACAAGTCCTATTTTTCATGATATGTCAACTTTAAACTGGCCAGCTTAATGAAGCTGTACAGACAGAGCAGGTGTTCGGATGCCCGTGTTCTGATAAGGGGGGTTAGAGGAGAATGGAGGCGCAGCCCTCTTCCTCGCTGTCTCTCAGCAGGGCAGCATTCTCATTAGCAGTGGCCAGAGTAAGGTCACTCCCAGGGCCTCTCTATCATGCTGTGTTCCAGACAGAGAAGCTGGTTCTGGCTCGCGTCCAGGAGCCGACAGGGCCTCCGCACAGGAGGGCCACCAGAGACAGTCGGCAGAGGCTGAATTTGGCTTTGTTGTGAATAGTAGTAAGTGAAAACGTGTTCTTTTCCGGGTGTGTTTGCAGGAGAAGAGCTCGGCTCTGCACAGGACCAAACAGCACAAAGAGGTGCCTGGGCCCAGCGCCAATAAGACTAAGTGAGTGGGTTTATACATGTCTTGCTGTTTACGGTGTGCGTGTGTTTCTGTTTGCTTTGTTTGTGTGGGTGTGGGCATTAGAGTTCTTGCTCTGTTGAAAACGTGCCAAAAGTCTGTAAATTGTGTATGGTTTGTTTTGCTTTGTGGCCTGTCTTATCCCCTCTGGATCTCATTTGCATGTTCTGTTTGAGCATAATGTGCCATATGTTTCCCAACTTATTGTTTGTAAACATGATTGTGTTTATTGCCGTCGGATGTAACTGTCGATTTAAAAAGTGCTTTATTGGCGTAATTATTCCTCGTGAAATTGGATTTCCAAAGGATCAGTAACAAAAACAAAATTGTGATGTAATATGATAAAGAATAAATGAAAATAGGCTAACACTTTACAATTACTTTCTTTGTGAAATGTCATTTAAAGCTGCAGCACGTGATTTTCTGAGGAACACTGTTGATATTTGAAAACAACCCAAACAAACACACCCCTCCCTTCATTGCTCCGCCCCTAAAATATACAAACACGCAATGCAAGAGTGGATTTATCCTTACCATATCTGAAGCCAAGCAAAATAATGCTTCGTGAAAAAGTATAGTAAGTATAGTATAGTAGAGTATAATAACAGGACAGCTACTATATCTCTCTTTCTAAGTCTTTCTTCAAATCTCCCTCTCTTTCTCACTCTCTCTCTCTCCTCCGCCATCATGAGTGGACATGCCCCCTTACTGTTGATTGGCTACAAGTGTGTTGTGGTGCTCGGTCTGATCCACTTTCAACAGGTTTTCTCAGAAATCACTTACTGCACCTTTAAAGGAATAGTTCAACCATAGATGAAGGTTTTGTCATTTATTCAGCCTCATGCAGTTTCAAACTAGGGGTGTCGCAATACACCTGTATTTATGATAACCATGATATGTTAAACATGAAAGTTTTCTCATTGTAATATTTTTTTATATGACCGTGCTGCACATTTTGCACTCAAAGTGATTCCAGGCATGACTGCGCACTTCAGCCCAAAACGCATAACCAATCAGGAAAAAAAGAAATATATACAATAAAGTTAGGGATGAATTTGACGGATAGCATTATTCATTTATTTGGGATTTTTGTCATTTTTGGAACTAAACTGCCCCAGTCCTCATTTCCATGTGTTTGTATGGAAACCTTCAAATGAAAATATCTTTGTTCTTTATAAAAAAGCTCTTTATTGAACATTAGTGTTTAACTGAGCAGTAGTTAAAATATAAGTTTCAATGTTTAAAATTATAACTCTTTAAGTGTAAATTAATTTATGATCGGTTAATCATTATTTTATTTGTTTATGACTTTAATTTCCACTGGGCTTTGATGGATATTACAAACACATTACACAGAAAACTAATACATACGGTGTTCACAACGTCTAGATGGCAATAAATTGTGTTTAGAGCATGTTAAGAACAAACAGTTCATTATTGTTTTATGTGTGTGTCGATGGAGTAATGGTCAGTTAATGTGCTGTGTGTGTGCGCGTGTGTGTGTGTAGAGGCAAGGGTTTATGGTCCCCGCTGTAATGCGTCTATAAAAATGATTCCTGCCCAGCCACTCTGGATCCTACAGTAGCGTGTGTGTGTGTGTGTGTGTGTGTGTGTGTGAGAGAGAGTTTGTGTTCTTTATGCTTGTTGTAATGGAAAATTCGAGTGTATTTGTTGCTTCCCTCCTTCTACCCCCACTAACTTCCTCCCTCTCTCTCTCTCTCTCTCTCTCTCTCTCTCTCTCTCTCTCTCTCTCTCTCTCTCTCTCTCTCTCTCTCTCTCTCTCTCTCTCTCTCTCTCTCTCTCTCTCTCTCTCTCTCTCTCTCTCTCTCTCAGCATACATACATCAGAGAGCCAGCAGGAGTTCTTCAAAATGCTGGATGAGAAGATTGAGAAGGTGAGGGCGGGAGGAAAAAACGAGACACAGAAGTAAAGGAGGAAGCAGATGGGTTGGAGATTTTAAAGGGACAGTGTACATGAAACTGTTCTTTTATAGACTGCTCGTTTATCTAGAATAGATTGTGACATTTAAAAGATTGTCTTGTCATTTTGCCATATTCATTGCCTGTCTGGTACTCCCTGTAGACCTCTGGAGATAAAATGATATGTTTATCGCTCTGCTTTTTTCCATTACTTCCTCCTGTTTCTCTTCCTCTCTTATCTATCTTTGTGTCTCTCTTGAGGCCTGAGATCAATTGGTCTGAAATGGATTAAATCAAAATATTTTAGATTTTTGTTTTAAATGAGTTGAAACAAGGTTACATAAAGGCTGTAGGGCCTTGTTTACACTGCAAAAAAAAAAATCGAAATTGTTTTTTCGAAGTAATTAAATCAAATCTGTTTGCCAGTGTCTGTATATCTACATTGAAATTAAATGCATTTTTAAAAATCTAATTTTAAACCCTTCAAACTACATATAGATGTGGTTTGGATCATGTTTTTAAAAATCTGATCGTGGTGGGCTTTGTTGTTTTGTGCAGTGTAGGTGAGCAATATATATTGTTTTTTGTTTTGTTAAGACACTGTCTCAACAAAGCCTAAGCTGATTAATTCTCAATAATAAAAAAATTTTTTTAAGGCTATGTTGATTTAACACCTAACCAGATAAGACAGGATTCCAGCAATAAGCAACTCGACTTTTCACATTGACAATGGAAATGCAATCACATTCAGCTGATCAGAACAGTGTGCGAACAGAGACCTCATCAAATGCACTGTGCTGCTTAAAACATAGACGCTAATATTTTCATGATATTTATGGTTTTCCATTTGGAACTTTATCAATTTGCACTACAATATCCAATGCTTTCACAATCAGTCTCTCTTTGTCCATGTTTGATGAAAATGAAGTGTTCATTTTGAAGCTCATCGCACTTTCTGCTAGTTGGTACAACTCGAATTCACTTATTGAGTTTTTTAGTTTAGATTATTTTCTTTATCGGTCTCTCTCTCTCTCTCTCTCTCTCTCTCCATATTCTCCAGGGGCGGGACTACAGCTCCGAGGAGGAAGACGATGTGACATAGCAGAGAGGTGCCAGATCTTGCCAGAGATGGGAATGGAGAGAGAGTGTGAACTCAAAAATCAGTGTTTCCTATGTCTGTAACACTGTCGATCTGAGAGCGAGTGTGCGTGCGAGTGCGTGAGAGAGTGTGCTTGTGAGAGCGAAAGAACGCAGGACTTTTCCTCATAGGCTGTTTGCACCCTTGACCTCTTCTCCTCTCTTGGGGTTGCCTTGCTTCGAGATCTAGATGGTTTTGGGTGAAGAAAGAACAGCTTGATTGATGTATTATCAACATAGACTCACTCTGACATGAAATGAGGACCCCCCCCCATCCACTCCGCTCTTGTCCTCCTACGGCCAGCATTGAAATGGCCCCTTTCTCCGCCTGGCTGTGATGGAGCCATCTGAGAAAGAGAGATTATGTCGGGGAAAGCGAGATGCTCCTCCCAGTCCTTGTTTTAAGTGGCAAGCCAGAGGAAAAAACGGACATATGGAGAAACGGGAAGAGAGCTTACAAACATCATCTGGAGATAGTGGGGAGTGAATGTAAAGATGAAGTGTTGCGGGTTTTTTGGGGGGAGAGGGTTTGAACGAGAGATATTTTATTAAGAGCGACTATATGACCGAACTGTCTGATTATTTTGATAAGAGCAATGTGGCAAGTTTTAGAACATTTGATCTGGACTCCTGCCTTTTGAAGGACTTTTTTAAATTTGTGGACTGTTCCATAATGTTTATTTTTATTGTTTTTTATTGCATAGATCAAACCTCCTCAAGCTTGTGCTATAAAGGTCAGGGCTGTGCAGTGACCCCATAACACACTCGCTCGTGCGCACACACATACATAGAGAAAGACTTAAAGCTAAAATAATCACCACACCCTCTTTCCACATACAAGTTCTCACTTTCAATTTGTATATTCTGCTATTATTTGTAAAATTCTCACAAAAGGGACGGAAATAGTCTCACTAGTTACCAGCAGTTACCCTCACACATATCCAAATATACCCATTACAGCCACCCATAAACAGGCAGCATTTAACTTAAAGATCTGAATTGACTTTTTATGCTGTCCAATGAAAGAACTGGGGTTGTCTGTTTTTTTTGTGTGTGTTTCGAGGCCTGTGTTTGTGTTAATCTGTGTCAGAGAGCCAGGTCTGACTGTGTTAATCGATGTCAAACGGATGAAATGTTTGTCGTAGACCTGTGTATGTTTAGCTACAGTGTTAACCTCTGTTCCTCGCCCTGCCTTTCTCACTTATTAGTATTTATTTAGTCGTGTTGGCTAAAATGCATCTGGTTGTCAGCCTGTACACTTACAATTCATGGATACCACCAAACCAGTATGAGGTGGGGTGGGGTCACTTTAAGTACACAGCGTTGGCCAAGCATCTGTCATTATAATTACTGGATTGAATCCTTTTTTATGTTCAATGTTTTCTTTTTCTATTAAAATATAAGACACAGGAGCTATGGTTTCTGTTTGTGTGCTGTCTCAACGATTAATTGGTTGGTGTGTGTGTGTGTGTGTGTAGGTACGTACGTACGTACGTAGACTACGTACGTACTGCTTTGCTGACATCATTAATCCATTCTAGCGTCATATTTCCTGTTGGTGGTCTGACTCATAACGTTAAAAATACTTATTGGTTTCGGGGATCGAATTTCAAATCCAAAAATGTGCAGATTGCATTTCCACCATGAGTTAAAATAATACACTTTACAAAAATGTAACTATAAAATTGCTGTCCAACGTCACGTCTTTTCGGAGAATCCTCACACAAGACATTTGGAGCTGTTGACGAACCAACTCAAGCATTTGTGGATTTTGTTTTCATTCACTTGTTGTGTTTTGTCTCCACCTGGAGGTTGACTACATTAGAAATGTCTAGCTAGTGTAAACCAATTTTTTTTTTGTATTGAGGATCATGATTTTAGGTTTATTTTTTATTTTTTTTTATCATAGTGAATATTTTAGATGCTGTGATTGGTCACTAAATGTTTTTTTCAGTCCTTATAATAATTTTTGCCTTTACTAGTACTTTTCAGTGCTTCAGAATTACTTTTTAATTGAGACTTAAGTCATTAATTATGCACAAATATCCCCCCTCTCTCCATAGTATGTAATGAAAACATGCGCAATATTTTAGAATGCAATATTTAAATTTATTTTTAGATTATAATTTTTTTAATCATTTTATATCACTGGACTTCAGGGCATTGCAATATTCTGACTAGCAAAAGGATCCCAAAAAGCGGTAAAAAATGGTAAATTACAGCCAATAATTGGTGAACAAGGCTTATAAATTATGTGTGTGTATATATGTGTGTGTGTGTGTGTGTGTGTGTGTGTGTGTGTGTGTGTATAGTCAAGGGACAGTTTGTACTGTACTGTATTTTGCACAGAATAAAAAAATATATTCTGCCTTCAAATCTGTTTGATAAAAACTTGAGAGTAAACAGGATTGTCCTTATTGACAACACAACAGTAACTCTCATGTACACTGTCCGTCTATATTTTTAACATTGTCACACATGATACATGCATGACCTGTGGTTATTTCATCTTGGCCTTCTAGTACAGCTCTAACAGTATCTTCAGAGAAGAGGAAAACCATACGGTCAGGAATATGGGCAAAGAATATATTCTTTCCACTGTGAGGTAAAACCCAATAAATCCCTTGAATGCTGCCTCATTATAGAGAACAACATGTTCTGGAAGTTTGGCCGTATTCTCTCTCTCACGCGGTGTGCTGGTGTGACACAATGTGAGTTTTACCAGGCTAAGCTAGTACTGGTTGTTATGCTCTCTAGAGGACAGCGGTGAGGGGAATTGAACACAGAGGGCTTCACGATGGTTGGTTTTTGAAGTAGATCTGAATGATAATTTTGTACGGTTTTAATGTGTGAGAATGTGTATGTGTGTGACTGAGCTCCATCTGGTGTGTGTAGGAGAAGTGGAAGAAAGGAAGATATGAGATTGAGAGAGTTGGGTTTAGCCCTGTGAGAGCTCTGGCTTGGTTGTCACTCTACATTGCCAGCATGAGCTCACAGCAATTACATCTAACTCAATCCAGCAGGCCTCTCTTATACCCTCATTCCCCTTTTCAGTTTTCCCTATCCTCATTCTGCACATAAATATCTCTCTCTTTTCTCTTCCCATCCCTCTCTTCTCCTCCATTAGGCTATACACTTACATGCCTAATTTTGCTTTTTAACTGTAGCCCTTTATAAATGGGATCCATTACTGTCCTAATTATACACTCTTTGCCATTCACTCATCTTTTAAAAAAACATTCCCACCAGAACTTCAGTTAGCCTCTTCAAAAACTCGCTTTCAACACTGAATTCAATTTACTAAGCTGTCACCTTTCCCCACTGACAGAAAGCACAACCACTTTTCTTGAAATATGAAGTAACATTTGGTTACTCTGGTATTGGCTTAATAATAGGCCTACACCAGCGGCGTGATACAAACTTCTCATGTATTTCTGGCAGAGGAAAATATTGCGGTAACTGTCAGAATAACTCATTTGATGTGAGAATTTGCACCAGACATGGATGTAGTAGCAGACGGAAACCAGGTTTGCACCAGCCAGAGCTCTGAGCCAGCATGTCTGCTGCTTTGTGCTCAGAGTTTCTGTCAGCCAAATCAAAACGTACTTTTTTTTTATCACCTTATCTAATGTCAAATATGTTTTTAAAGGAGAACCTGTATATTTACATGTAGGTCTTTAATATACATTTCCGTCTATTGACCATACGTGAATATTGTCTTGATTTTTAGTTTTCATTGCCTGTGCACTTGCTTCTATTGCAAAATCCAGATGCTTAAACGGAATTTAGCAGGCAAACCGCACAAACATTTTCTAAATGCTAACTGGCATTAAAAAATAACATTTTGATTTAAAAGACTCGCTCATTTTATACTTTGTTCTTTCACATTTAAACACTAGGGGTCGCCACTCGCCATAATATTAAATGTAGGCTTAATCGTTTTAAACAGCGCAACGAAATGCAGAAGTGAAGTCAAATGTCCCTCGAGAAAAGAAAAAAATCCCTTCTTCAGGTGGGCTACTTTTAAAAGATTTCTGTCAAAAACTAAATAAACCCCGTCTAAGAATAGCCTATACACAATTGTAATCGTGTTTCGCGCCCAAATGCCATTTTTTTGTAGCTAATAACTGTAGGCTACAGTTATTAGCTACAAACAATACAATTTACTGCTTGCTATTTGCCAAAAATGAAATTATTTAGAATGTCAGAAGGAAATCTGAAAGCAGTTTGAATGGGATTCCAGAGCGTGCAGGGAGCAGGTGTCAGCTGTAGTGAATTCGATCATGTTCTCATGAACTCTCAGAAGCGTTGGGATACACGACGAGACGCGAATGGAATGATATCGAGCACCCGATGATGGAGAAATTAAATGAGCAATGAGGAAAGAATGGGGGGAAAGGGAATATAAAGCCCTCTGGACAACAGCTTTTCAAAATCCAAAATAATAAATAAACATATATATACATTCTTTAATTTTTCACCTTTACCCTGGTGAAAAAAAGGCTATCTATAGGCTACTTGCAGCCAGACTAATTATCAGTAGGCTACTTCAAGTGTGTTAATGATTAGTTAACTTGAAGTATGCTATTTTGAAACAAATTAAATTGTAGTAAAGCATAACTTTAAGTCTATTTAGTGTAGCCTACTAAATTGTAGCTACTTAGTATATAGCCTGGTATCATGCCTGCAGGGACTAAACATGATTGATTTGATTAGTGATATTAAAGTGTACTTTATTTGTGTTACAAGTACATTACAAATTCATTACGAGTGTCTTCGAAACATACAAGCAATATACTATAAGTGTATATATATAGCCTATATAAGTATAGGCTGATTATACCTTTGGCTTATTCCAAATACCACAAATTGCATACTTTTTCTTCAATAACAAATGTACATTATTAGACAAATAAAACTTAGCTATACTTTGTTCAAAATACTATTGTATACTATAATGTATTTTGAAAGGATACTTTCAATACAATGATCATTTTTCAATAGGCTACACAGTTAAAATACCTAAAATATGTTTTTAACAAAGTGCAAATAAATACACTTAAAAAATAAACTGAATTTTCACTTCAAGTATATTTTTCTAAAAATATATATTTTTTAGAAAATATACTAAAATAGGCTAGGCTACATATTATTTTAAAGTGTGTTAAAAGTTGTATTGTGAAAATAGGTAAATGCATGATGCTACTTTTAATATATTTAAAGATAGTAAAATTGTTGTTAGCAATGTATAGCCTACTATTGAAATAGGGAATATATATAAAATACAATAAAGTATACTTTTTTCCAGGGTATAGGCCTGCCTAGGCCATATAGCCTATAGGCTAGCTATGGGTTGGGTTAGGCGGTAAAAAATATTATTAACCTGAGAATCAAAGAAAGTTTAATATAGTGAAACAAACGTGTGTGTGTGTGTGTGTGTCTGTCTGTCTGACTAACTTCATATCTCATCCTTTAAGCTCCTCACTGATCTGTCCTGGTGATGGTGAAGGGTGTGAAAATCTGGAGGAGGCAACCCACTTTTTTTAAAGGTGACCACTCTAAACCTCTCCACCTCTCTCTACTCCTCCTTACCCACCCTCTCTCTGTCTTTCAGCCTCTCATTCACTCACATACAGTAGGCTACCCCGCTCAGGTTGTGACAGCGGTGTCCATCAGGCAGAGATGCCAGCTGAGGGATTCGTGATTGTAGCTGTGATTTGCGCTCTGATGGCGCAAAACTGCCGTGGGGAACTTGTGGCTCACGTGCAGGACCTTTCCGTGCCCGAATCCTCCCTGCTTAAACCCAAAGTCATGATCGCGATTTTGGCTCGGAACTCGGCGCACAGCCTGCCGTACTACTTGGGCTGCATCGACCGCCTGGACTACCCGAAGGACCGGATTGCGATATGGTGAGAATTTATTGTGGAGTGCTGCACTGCTGCTGTTGAGGACGGATAATGTGTGTGTGTGTGTGTGTGAGAGAGATGAGATGGTTTGCTATTGCAGCAAGTGTGGTGGTTGAAAACTGAGAAGGTCTTGTACATAGTGGAGTTATTGTGGAGCGGAGCGCGCGCATGCAGGTAAGGTTAATGAAAACCTTCTGGCAGATAGAGGAACAGAGACGCCGCTGTCTGCGTGAAGCAGACCTGTTAAAGCGGTTTACTACACTGTCACGCGTGTGAGCAAGGATTTAATTACATGTTAAATGAAGATGAAAGACATTTGCTGATTAAGCAACATGTCCGGTTCTCTTTGCCTATTAGAGTGCAATTTTTTTAAATTACGTTTTAAGAGAATTTCTGTCAGCATAATTTTGGGGCGCAATTTGACTTTCGTACAGAGGCAAACCTACCGTAGGCTACTACATGAACAATCTGAAGTTCTATGCTTTTGCGACATAATATGGGAATGGTAATCAATAAATAAAATCTGAAAAGTAATGGCAGTAGCCTATAGCTACTTATGTTTTGTAACGTCCGAAACATAAATCACTTGAATTGCTGTGAACTTCAATTGAGCGACTTCTTTTAGCTTGTTAACTTTTGTAAAAGCTTGTAAAAGCTGATAAAATGCACTGGATATGCCATGATCCGATATGCGATATCCCCATATTGTGATGTAGATCAGAGTGAAACAAAAAAAGAAAAGAAAAAAATGTAGGCTGCATGGGGATTTGATTCTAGATGCATTAGTTGTTGTTGACTGGAGCTTGATGTGGGTGTTGCATTCAAAAGTGAATGCAGATTCATGCAAGCTTGTAAAAAATCTGCATATGTCACCAGAGAGAAGCCTGTCGTTCTCTTACGAGAGGTTCTCTCGTATTGCGTAAGCTAGCTTACGCTGCGGGAAAGATTCATCTTTGCTGAGATATTGAAGCCAAAAAAATTATTTCATAATTTGTATCCATTGACAACGCAGTTCCTCTGCGGCAGACCTAGAGCAGGCTAGCTAGCAGCTCATTGGTTCGCTCAGAGAGAACTGCTTAAGCCTATGGGAGAGCGGGGCTGAACCCGCTTCCAATGAGAGGCGCCCGCGCGCTCATTGCGTCATGGCCCGCCAGAATGGGCGTGGCTATGGTGTATATAACAGTCTCTCCCAGGCTTATATGTTGATTCATTTCATCTTCAGCAAGCTGCACGCTTCTGCTGTCCTGAGAAAAGCCGTCGCCGTCGAGAAGGCATCACTCTAGCGAGCTCCCGGACCCTGAAGAAGCCGGCCGTCTTCGCCACCTTCAGCCGCCCTGCAAGCTAGCGCCATCCGACGACTGTATCCTTCTTTTTTCTCTATTTATATCTAAAAGAGCCGAGCGTCTTTTTAAAGATGTCTCGTTTTTCCTGCGGCTCTTGCCGCGCTCGTCTCGAGGACGGAGACCGCCATGTCATCTGCGCTCTCTGCCTGGGACTCGAGCACGCAGAACTCGCCCTCGCGGATGGAGGATGCGACTTCTGTGAGAGCCTGCCGTTGTCGTCCCTGCGGGCACGACTTCTGGCAGCGAAATCCGCTCCCGCGCCGCCTCCCTCTTCGCCGCGTAAGAAGAAACGCCGCTCCCAGAGGCCGCCGGAGCCCCCAGCGGAACCATGCGGGCCGCCGCCGCCGCCGCCTCCCGCTTCCCGCTCTCCCTCCCAGCCCCTGCCGGACATACAGTTGCCGCCGAGTGGCCGCTCTGTCGCTTCCAAAGACGCCGCGGAGGAGAAGGACTCCTGTTCACTGCTCGCATCAGACAGTGAAGAATGGTCATCTCTCGGTTCCACGAGAGAGTCGGCGGGGATCCGCGCCGGGATAGAGGAGGAACTAATGCGCCTCCTCTCACAGGCCGTCGAACGCCTCGGTCTCGAGTGGTCTCCTCCACCCGAGCAGGCCCCGAACCGGATGGACGGCAGCTTTTTTCATCGGCGCTCGACCCCCGCGTGCAACCGGGCCGCCCCATTCCTGCCTGAACTTCACGCTGAGCTGACGAAGTCCTGGAATGCCCCGCTCTCGGCTAGAAACCGCTCTGATATATCCGCCTCGCTGCGCTCGGTGGACGGAGCCGCCGAAAAAGGTTACTCAGCCATGCCGCCCGTCGAGGACTTGGTCGCCGCACACCTCTGCCCGCCCTCTGCTAGATGGCGCTCTTCCCCCACGCTTCCTTCGAAAGCTTGCAGAGCGACCTCGAGCTTTTATGCTCGCGCCTACGCCGCCGCCGGTCAGGCCGCCGCAGCGCTACATTCTATGTCTGTCCTCCAAGTATTACAGAGCGATATTCTCCGTGAGTGGGCCGAAGGCGGTAGAAACCCCTCCCCCGCTGTCACGGATCTAAGAAGTGCTACGGACCTCGCCCTTCGCGCCACTAAAGCCGCCGCACAAGCTCTGGGGAGATGCATGGCCAGCCTTTGTGTTGATGAGAGACACTAATGGCTCACGCTCGCCGACATGGGAGATTCTGAGCGCGCCGCGTTTCTTAAGGCGCCCCTCTCCCCGACGGGCCTTTTTGGATCTGCTGTCACGGGAATCGTCGATCGCTTTTCTGAGGTCCAGAAAGCTACTCAGGCGATGAATTTGTTTCTGCCCCGCCGCGCTAGCTCTTCTGCGGGCCGCTCTCGCGAGCCTCCTGCCAGAGCTCCACCACAGCGCCCCCCTCCGCAGACTCAAACAGCCCAGCGCAGACAGGGCGGCCGCCCTCGCTCTCGCTCTGACAGCCGCCGCAGACCGCCGCCCCCACGAGGCCCGCGACCTAAGATCACGCTGAAGCCTGATCATCAGAAGTCTGCCTAGCAAAGTCAAGAAAACGACGGTGCTCTCCCGCTGCGGCCGGACCGCCGTCAAAGCTTCGCCCTCTGCCAGTCCCCGTTATTTCGCCGACTGCTGTAGTGTTGACCGCCACAAACAAGCCGGTGTCCCAGCCCGCTTGCGAGCGACAAAAAGCCGTTTTTACGGCTACCCAAAGAAATCTCAAAAAGAGAAAATTTGCCAGTTGTGTAGAAAATGTGCCCACAATCATGTGCTCACCCATACACACAAGCATAACATATCCCGTGTCTCTATCAGAGCCCCATCACATGAAACGGGCACAGCCCGCTCTAATATCAGAGAACATAAACACGCCCACGAGCTCGTGCGCGTGTCCCCTCTCTGCTCGCTCTGTTTCACGGCCCATAGACTCCTCTCTGAGTGCAAATCCCGTTGCCACACACATTCAAAGCGCGCCCACACACCGTGTCCAGCCCGCTATGTGCAGCAATCAGGGCGATATAGCCATTCGGCCACTAGCCGCATGCTCCAAAGCGTGGGAAGCCATTCCAGGCATTTCCCCGTGGGTACTAAGCATTATAAAGAACGGCTATCTGCTACAGTTTCGCCGCCGTCCGCCTCGTGCATGGATACGAAGTGCATGGATACGGCGCTCGCCCCCCTGCGGAGCCAGGGGCTGCGCATATTGAATTATCTGGACGACTGGCTGATTTTGGCCCAATCACAGACGGAGCTTCTGTCGCACCGCGCAGTTCTCCTCGACCATCTGAAAACGCTGGGCCTCTCTGTCAACTGGACAAAGAGCTCCCTTCAACCCAGTCAATCGATTTCCTTTCTAGGAATAGATTTGAACTCGGTCACGATGACGGCTCGCCTGTCTACACAGCGCGCGCGCAGTGTACAGCGACTGGCCGCCTCGTTTCAGATGGGCACCCGCTCACCTCTGAAAACTTTTCAGAGGATGCTGGGTTACATGGCCTCAGCCTCCGCTGTGCTTCAGCTGGGCCTTCTGCACATGCGTCCGCTTCAGCTTTGGTTAAACAGCCGTGTACCCCACCGCGCGTGGAACACGGGCCGCCAGCTGATCAGAGTTACGCAGACATGTCTCACGGCGCTGCAGCCATGGACAGTAGCAGAATGGTTTCGACAGGGCGTCACGATGGGGACCTTTTCCCGCCGAAAAGTCATCTCGACAGATGCATCCAACACGGGTTGGGGTGCAGTCTGCGAGGGCTCACCGGCCTTCGGCCATTGGTCGACACAGGAAAGCCCCTTACACATAAACTGTCTGGAAATGCTTGCGGTCGAGAACGTGCTTTCGCGCTTCCTCCCGCTCATTCGGGGACACCACGTCCTGATCCGTTCGGACAACATGGCTGTGGTCTCCTATCTCAACCGTCAGGGCGGTGTCAGGTCCAGGAATCTCTTCCTACTGACACACCGCATTTTAGTTTGGTCTCAGAGCCGCCTGCTCTCGCTCAGAGCGACGCATGTGCCGGGCCATCTGAACGACGGTCCAGACATACTGTCCAGGAACCTCATCTCCTCAGGAGAATGGTCCCTGAACACACAAACGGTCCAAATACTGTGGCGGCTATTCGGCAGAGCAGAGGTGGACCTCTTCGCGTCAGAAGAGAACGCTCACTGCCCAATATTTTTCTCAAGGAGCGAGGACGCGCTAGCCCAAGAATGGCCTCGCCGCCCGCTCTATGCATTCCCTCCGATCGCTCTGCTACCACAGGTAATTCAGAGGATCAGGGACACACGCCACTCGGTGCTCCTCATAGCCCCGCGTTGGGAGAGTCAGAATTGGGTTCCGGAGCTCACTCAGCTGTCACAGACAGCCCCGTGGCCCATCCCAGTCAGAGCAGATCTCCTCTCTCAAGCTCGCGGCACGATCTGGCACCCCCATCCACGGCGCTGGGCGCTACATGCATGGGTGATCAACGACTATTCGTCGATTTGCCAGAAGGAGTAAGAAACACTATCATACAGGCTAGAGCACCTTCCACGAGAAGGCTCTATGCGTCTAAATGGTCTGTGTTCTCAAAATGGTGCACCGACAAACATCTGGACCCACGGTCATGCGAGGTGCCGTCTTTGCTTGTTTTCCTTCAAGAGATGCTGGACAAGGGCAGGTCCCCCTCCACTCTCAAGGTTTACGTGGCAGCCGTCGCGG